AAATAGCAAGGGAATTAGCTAATTAGATCTCTCCAGGGAGTGAATTCCTGCAGGGAGGAAGGAAGGAAGGAAGGAAGGAAGGAAGGAAGAAGGCAAAGCTGGAGCTGCAGGAGTTTCCAAGCACAAGGGGAGACAGGGAAGAGATTGCAGGCAATTGAGAGAGAAAAAGACACACAGCCCAAACCCTTTCCCTTTTGCATGCCTTGGCTTCCTCTCCCTTGGTGGACCCCCATGTCTTGCCAAAGGTTGACTGTAAGCTCCTTGGGGCAGTTGCGTCATCTTTGCTGAAGCCCAACATAAAAGTGATGCAGATCAATACAGTCAGCCCTCCGTATCCGCGGAATTTTTTATCCACGGATTCATGCATCCACAGTTTGAAAATATTAAATATATGTATGTATGTACACATTCCAAAAAGCAAAGCTTGATTGTGCCATTTTATATAAGGGGGAAAAAACCATTTTACTATCCGCTATATTCAATGGGACTTGAACATCCATGGGCTTTGGTATCCACGGGGGGCTCCTGGAACCAAACCCCAGCAGATACCAAAGGCTCACTGTATTTAGCATTTGGCTGAGGTTTGGGAATGTTCAAAGCGCATGTTGTATTTGTCCTTGCAAATCCGTATTATTTATTTATTTAATTTTTATCTCACCTTTCTCCCAAAGTGGGAGCCAAGGCAATGACAGCCTTACAATAGCCTTATGAAGCAGGTCTTTTCATTGTTGGAGGCAGCATAGTGTAGTGGTTTAAGTGCTGGACTATGATTCTGGAGAGCAGGGTTCAAATCCCAGCTTGGCTATATATATATATATATACACACTGGGTGACCTTGGACAAGTGACACACTCTCAGCCTCAGAGGATGGCAGTGGCAACTGCCTTCTGACGAAATTTGCCAAGAAAACCCTGTGACAGCCTTAGGGTTTCCATAATGACTTGATGGCATACAACGACGACAACTTTTCATTCTTAGGTAGAAGATACAGAAGGAAGTGTTCAGTCCTGGGCACCTCATTTTGGGAAGTATAGAACCAGCATGGCGTTGTGGTTTGAGCGTAGGGTTTGGGCTCTGGATATCAGGGTTCGATTCCCCGCTTGGCCATGGAAACCCACTGGGTAGCCTTGGGCGGGTCACACCTTCTCAGCCCCAGAAAACCCTGTGGTTGGTTTGCCTTGGGCTCACCCTAAGTCAGAAACGGCTTGAAGGCACACAACAGCAACAAACAGGCAAGCTGGACCACTGCCTGAGAAGGGCTACCAGGATGATAAAAGGGATGGAGAACGAAACATATGAAGGGAGATTGAAGGAGCTGGGCATGGTCATCTTGGGGAAGAGAAGATGGAGAGGTGACAGGATTGCACTCTTTAAATATCGCAAGGACTGTCCCAGAGAGAAAGGGGGCCAAGCTTATTCTCTGCTGTCCCAGAAGGCATGATCTGGTCTAATAGTTTGAAGTTACAGGAGAGCAGATTTTGATTGACCATTAGAAGAAACTTCTTAACAACTAGAGCAGTTTGGCAATGGACCCAATTGCCTAGACAGGTGATGGGGTCTCTTTCGCTGGAAGTCTTCAAATGAGGCTGGACAGCCCCCTGCTGAGGATGCTTTATCTGGAGATCCTGAATTGAGCATTGGGTTGGACTCCATGGCCTTTGAGGGACCCTTCCAACTCTGTGAGTCTATGGTTCCATGGAAGAAGATGAACTTGCTTGAGGCTACATCACTAGTCAGCTGCTCTAGGTTATTGTAGGAATAGAAGAAGCTGACTTAGATTTTGTTAGATCCTTGATCCATCTAACTTGGAATTGTCAGCGCTGATTGGGAACCATAACAGAATTCTTCTGGGAGATACTGGGAACTGAGTCCAGGATCTTCTGCACAAGAATACAGGCAGATGCCACTAAACTGAGACCCAACTTTGGTCCATTTGGTCAGTACTGTCCGCTCTGACCGGCAGCCATGGCTCTGCAGGGTTCCAAGGAGGATTTCTTGCATTGGGGATTTCCTCCTGGGGCATCCCTGGCGGCCTCTAATCTGCAGCCCAGCAGCTGAAATCAGACAAAATCTGGTGAGTTTATGGCCCTATTCATATTGTTCAATACAGGAAGCGGCACAGAATGTGACTAAATAAATACCTCAAGTGAGTTTCTGGCGGAGATGAGATGCAAACTCTGGATAGTAAAACAATGGGCAGTCAAATATTGCTGTTGAACGTTGTGGGCGTGTGTTGTAGTTCAGGGATATTTCCTTTTATTGAGCCACCAGCAGTTTTGTCTCGGTGCCGAAATTGTGGCGGCAGAAACGGCGAAGTGTGCAAAGTGTTTGGGTGCAATGTTGTTCCTTTCACTCACACACTCTGCTTGCCGCTCTGGAAAAAGTTTGCAGACTTACTCCTCACAAGCATCAAACAGAATAAATAAGCCCCAGAAATTAAAAAAAGGAGAGATATCTTTATTTAACCAATAATTTATTGCGAGGACTGACTGTGGACTCACTAGAATATAAGTATTGTTACATTGCAGTGTGGCTATAAGTATTGTTATGTTATTGTTCAAGAATAATTTATTGCAAGGACTGACTGTGGACTCACCAGAATATAAGTATTATTACACTGCGATGTGAGGATAAGTACTGTTATGTTATTGTTGAAGAATATTGTCATTGTTATCGGTTAAATAGATATATCTCTACTTTTTTTTATTTTCTGGGGTTCATTTATTCTATTTTGATGTTTGCTATACCCCCAGAAGGTTTTGTTTGTTGTGCTTGTTGCTACTCCTTGCAGGGACATTTCACATTTTTTAAAGAAAGTATTAGGAGATCAATTGAGGATCTGCATTTTGATACCAGAATTTCAGTGGAGAATTGCCTTCCCGACTGACCTGATCAAGGGACAGGACCGGATATTAAGGCACTGTGAAGACAGGCTGTTTTGTGCCCAGTTGAAAAGGGATTAACTAGCAGTCCTTCTATTGTGTTTGTTGTTGTTGTTGTGTTCCTTGTTATTGACTTATGCCAACCTTAAGGATGGCAATAGCCAACTCCGTCCAAGAAAACCCCATGATAGATTCGCTTTAGGGGCACATAAATTGGAAACGACTTGAAGGCACAACAACAACAGCAAAATCCCAATCTGTGGTTCTCCAGATGTTTGGGACTTCAGCTCCCAGAATTCCTGACTGTTGGCCAAGCTAGCTGGGGCTTCTGGGTGTTGAAGTCCAAAACAAATGGAGGACCAAAAGTTGGGAACCACTGATCTAGTGCAATCCCTTGAAATTCAGTGTTAGACCTCTTTAGTAGAGGATTCCAAGCATCTTAGAAACCACGAATCCAGGGTTTGTACTAAGAAAGCACAAATGGTAGTAATGGTGGTATCAAACTGCTATAAATTGTGCAGTGTGGATACACTCATGGTCTTCTTCTGATTTCTTCCCTGCAGCCTCTCCTTTGATGGATGACTGAGCCAAAGTATAGATTGAACAGAAAGGCTTATTCCTAGATGCAACTCAGGTTGCATCCACATTGCAAAATAATCCTGGTTCACACCACTTTAAGTGCCATGGCTCAACGATATGGAATTCTGGGAATTGTGGTTTGTTGGGGCATCAGAGCTCTGACCAGGTTAGGGTTAGGGTTAGGGTTAGGGTTAGGGTTAGGGTTAGGGTTAGGGTTAGGGATTTGAATTGCAAGAAAGGAGGTTCCAGCAAAACACTGAGAAGCATTTTATGTCCTGCAAGAGCTGTTCATCTGTGGAATAGGTTGCCTTGGAGGGTGGTGGACTCTCCTTCTTTGAAGGCCCTTTAACTAAGCCCAGGTTGGATGTGGGCATCTTTGAAGAGTGCATTCCTGCATGGTCAAATGGAGTTGGTCTATATGGCCCCTGTGGTCCCTTCTGACTCTATGATGCTATGGCACCATAGCCAAGCAACCAACCTAGAGGTTCAGGAGAGGCACCATCCGGCCATGCTCTTGCGTCTTCTTGTTGGCAGACAGGAGCTTCACCTTGGGAGAGCAGAGAGCCTCGTTGCAAGCGCTCCTTCCGATGGGACTTTCCCCTCCCGCGCCTTTCTTATCGCTTGGCTCCTTCTGCAAAGCTAAGGGCGGTCAAGGTCTCGTGGGTGCAGGGCATGCCTGGGCATTATGGCCACAGGCCAGGGCCCAAGATTTGGGGAAGAGAGAGAGAGAATGGGGAGGCAGTTTCCAGCTGGCAGGGCTGGGCTGGGCTGGGAAGTCAGACTGGGAGGACTGGAGGACTCCATTGCAGTCAAGGCTGCAGCTGCTTGGTCAGCTTTTGGCAGGAGATGGGCAGAAGATGGAGTTCATTGGCAAGGCCTTCTCCTTCCTTGTTCAATGGGAAGCTTATAATGAAAACAAAAGCCCATTTTCAGGCCAGAGGGAGAGTTATTTTTCCCCCCTTCGGCCTTCCCTTGCTCCCTCAACCGGAGGCGGCTTGGCAGGGTTGTTGCAAAAGTCCCTTGGCACTTTGGTTTCTGTTTCACCAATTGATGGAGGCAGTTTCCTACTTTAATTTCTTTTTAAATTGTATAAAGGGGGAAAGCCCAACAACGTACAGTCAGCCTCAGCCCTCCATAGCCACAGATTCTTTACCCACAGCTTGAAAATATTCCAAAAGGATATAAATTCCAAAAAAGGAAACCTTGATTTTGCTATTTTATCTAGTCCCAGGATTTCATCGCATTGAGCCATGGCAGTTTAAAGTGGCATCAAACTGCATTAATTCTGCAGTGTGGAAGGCATCATTTATAAAGATGTTAAACATCGGCCCCCAAAGCACCCAACTAGTCCTTTTTCTCTGAGATGGAGAAAGAGTCTGTCCAATGGGCAGAAACTGTTTTGGGGAGTAGACATTGGCACCTTGGACAGCTCCGTTAAAATTCAGACTAAAGTGAACCTGGGTGACCTTTGGCAGGTCCCACTCTCTCAGCCTCAGAAGAAGACAAGGGCAAACCTCTGAATAATTCTTGCTAATGAGAGGCAGTGTGGAGTAGTGGTTTGAGTTTTGGGCTAGGGACTCCAAAAGATCCAGGTTCAAATCCCGTCTCAGCCATGGGAACCACTGGGTGACCTTCGGCAAGTCCCACTCTCTCAGCCTCAGAGGAAGACAAGGGCAAACCTCTAAATAATTCACGCCAATGCGAGCCAGTGTAGGGGGGTGGTTTGAGTTGTTGAACTGCAACTCTGAAAGACCCAGGTTCAAATCCCTGCTCAGCCATGGGAACCCACTAGATGACCTTGGGCATGTCTCACTCTCTCAGCCTCAGAGGAAGAAGAGCAGGGCAAACCTCCAGGGACTCTAGATTGGTGGAAGACCTCAGAGGGGGCCCTGGGAGCCAGTCTCTTCCTTGCAAACCGTGGTCTGTTGAGGAACCCTCTTTCAGGACTGGGTGAAGCGAACTTTCCAGCTTCTGCTCCATGGATTGGATAGACTGGGAAATGGATGCTCAGATGTGGAAGAAACCCAGGGCTCCCTTCTCCCTTCTCCAGCCCCAGCCCCACATGGGTCTCTGCTGCGATCTATGGGACCCTTTCTCCTCTGGAGTCAATGTGTCTTTTTGTCACGCTGCTGCTGGGCTTGGAAGCCCACGAGAGGAAGGAGACAATGCCTGGCCTTGTTCGGTTTCTGCAACATCTGATGGCCCCAGAGAAAAGGCAGAGAGAGAGAGAAGGAGAAAGAAAGAAAGAAGGAGAGATGGTTTGTGCAGAGAATGGAGGATGGAGGGAAGAGGAGAGGAAAGACAGAGACAACAGCAGCAGGGGCATGATCCACCGAAATGTGGCCAGCAAGGAAGATGGGCAAGCTCTGGCCAAGGCTAAGGGCAATGGAGCAGAAGAGAAGGCAAGCCACACGAAACGGCCAGCGGAGATTCAGCGATCCGACTTTCCTTTTTCTTGTCTTTTTCCACAGGATTTTTATACCCCCCAAAATGGATCTAAAAATACCGTCGACAAGAACATCACCAAACAACACAACAAGGCCAACAACCGTGAAGGGGAAACAGCCCCATTTAGCGTATCCTGGGTAACATTATGGGAGAATCTATGTCACAAGCTGAAGGCAAAGCTAACTCTATGGAGAGAATTTGGACTGGGTAGTTCGGCAGCTTACCCATCGCCTTCAAAAATATGGCTTCGATCATGCAATCTTTGGAGCCCACTGAAGCAAAAAGACTCTACTCCTCTGTGTGTTTTTATAAAGTTCGGCACGATTTATGGGCAATTTTTGCTCCCAAGCCATGCAAGAAAGCTCTGCAAATGTGAGAAACGTTCAAAAATACTCTCACAAGCACTCCTGAATCCTTTGGTGTCCCCAGATACCTTCATATGCCTCTACAGTCCCTCTCAAAATGGTGACAAGATGTGAGTTCCTTCTGCCACCATTTTGAGAGGGACTGTAGAGGAAAAAACGAAGCATTTCGGTTTCTGGGGGTGGTCAGGACGGGGGGAAATTGGTCCCTAACTCTCATGCAATTGCCCTTCTCAACCTAGATCCTATTACTAGTTTTGACTAGAAGAGGTCCATTGAACCAACTGGATTTACTTACATAGGTCTGTTTTAGCTGAGACTGTTTTAGCTGAGACTGCCAAGAAAACCCCATGATAGGTTTGCATTGAAGTCTCCATATGTCTGAAACAACAACAACAACAAAAACAACAACAACAAGAGCAACAACAGCAGGTACTTATATGATTTAGGTCTTTGTAAATGACCTTACAGATGTACAAAATTGAATTAAATAGCATCTCAGTGGCTGTATTCACCTAAGGGTGCTATGACCTTATAACCTACTTGTGTCCATTGCGAAATGATGGTCAATAGAGTGACCCATGTCTAATGGTCTAATGCACAATGGTCAATAGAGTGACCAATGCACATGGAAGGCACGCACCAATGTGAGTCAGGACACCGACTAGGAAGACATCAGGAATGCCCAATGTGCATCAGAAGTGTCCGGTGCACATTGGAAGTTCCCAATGCGCATCGGAGGACCCTTGCCCAGGTGTGCCTCTTCCCAATTCACTAACAGGGTTTTGTTGTGCTTCTGCAACATAGCTACAGACTTGTAACTTTATGAAACGTAGACTGTGATGTAGAATCTCAGCTAATACAGTGGACCTTTGGTATCTGCCAGGGTTTGTTTTCCAGGACCCCTGTGGATACCAAAATCCATAAATGTTCAGAGCCTATTAAATGCAATGGCGTAGTAAAATGGTGTCCCTTCTATAAAATGGCAAAATCAAGGTTTGCTTTTTGGAATTTATATATTGTTTGAATATTTTCAAACTGTGGATGCTTGAATCCATGGATAAGCAATCCATGGACACGGAGAGACAACTGTAATAATAATAATAATAATAATAATAATAATACAAGGAGAAGGAGAAAAAGGAAGAGGAGGAGAAGACAACAGTAATGTTTGGTTCAGATTATGGTCCTTCTCTTTCTGAGCAACACACACATCATGCTAAGAAGAGAAACTAGATTGTAAATTCCTGGCAAAACCTTCTCTTCTTCATTTCTGGAGCATTTCCTGGAGTTCCCTTTTTCGAAGCACAACCGAAAGCACCATGAGCGGTCAAAGGCTGCCACGTTATTCTCTGGAAAAGCAGGGACTTTTTGGGGAGCTGTAAGGCTTGTGATAAACACTTTGCTCTCATGTACATAATTTAAGGATTGGGGAAGCGGAGTGAGGAGTTTGCACTGGAGTTTCTCTTTCATTTTTTAGGAGGAAAACAGAGGTTTTTTTTCTCCCTTATTGTGGGAAGAGAAAGTTTCTTGTTTCCAGGAATCCAGCCACCCTTTCTCATATTCTTTTTCTTTCCTGCAGGTAAACCAGCAGCAACATCATCACTACCTGCTTTGAGATCATGGCAGGCATCCTGAGTTGCGCAGGTGTTAAGCTCCCCAACAGAAGCAGTTGTGCTTATATGTCGGATGCATTGTAAGCAAACCTGATTTGAGAGGGATGGATCTGGTTCATCCTCTGGCGTCCCACTTTTCCAGCTGCTTTTAAAATGTCCCAATATCTCCTCTCACATTCTCCCTTTGTGCTCCCATTGCTGCAAACTGAGTTCAAAATGCAAAAGGAGTTTGTGCTCAATGAACTGAAAGTGTTCAAAGATATAGCTGTGTTTAGTCTGTAGAATCAGTATCAGAGAGATCATGTAGCACCTTTGAGACTAACTAGAGAAAGAAAGTTGGCAGCATGAGCTTTCCTAGACTTAAGTCTACTTCCTCCAAATGCATCTGAGGAAGTAGACTGAAGTCTAGGAAAGCTCATGCTGCCAACCTCTTTCTTTCAGTTAGTCTCAAAGGGGCTACAAGATCTCTCTCTACATACTGAACTGAAGAGAGAGAGGACGTCCAATGTGAATCGGACCAATCTTGAGGGTGCCCTGCTATGCATCTTTGCAATTCACTCACAGGGTTTCATTGCATTTTTGCAAGGTAGTGATGGATTTGTAAAGTTAAGAAACATGGACCACGACGTAGAATCTCAGTCGTTTATTTTTAGACACATGCTGAAGATGTACATATTTCTGCAAGCTGTCCCAGTGCCATCTAATCTTCCTTGAAATAAAGGCAAATGCCATCCCGCGAGGGGTTTGGTGTGGTTGTTCCCTTCCCCATGAAAGCATCCTTATGCCCTTCAGAAAGTTATCTTTAGTGCAATGCGTAATGGTGATGTCAGATGTTTCCATCACGGAAAAGAAAAAGAGCAGAGTTAAGGTTATCTTCCAGATGAATGGGTGGGAGGCACCCACAGAAGGGCAAGGGATGAGTCTTGGGAAAGAGCACCATTGTTATCCTTGAGAGAAAACCTGACCTCAGGCCTCTGGCAGCAGAAAACAATGGGCACCTGGAATAGATTGCCTGAAGGTATAAGTAAGGGCCACCAAGGAAAGGGGGGCTCATTCCTCCTAAGGCCATTAATGAGTTTAGGAATGCAAAGGGTAATTTCCAAGCAAATCAGTTGGACAATGTCCTACTATTCCACCCTAGTTTAAAGGAAACCATTTTAAACTGGCTTTAATCCTTAAACTCATGCTGAAGTCATTGGTGCAAATGAAGCTAACTGGCTCTCTAACTGGTTCAGCATTCCTAAAAACAGTGTTAAATTTTGAAGTCCAAACTCCCCATCACAATGTCGTTCCAGAGTCAAGATACGTTATTGAATACCAGTGTGGTGAAATGGTTTCAGCATTGGACTAGGACTCTGGAGACCGAGATTCAAGTCTCCGTTCAGACATGGAAACCTGCTGGGTGACCCTGGGCAAGTCACACCCTCTCAGCCTCAGAGGAAAGCCATGGCAAACCCTCGTGAACAAATATTGCCAAGAAATAGGGTCGCCTTAGGATCACAGTAAGTGGGAAATGGCTTGAAGGCACACAGCAGCAAACCAAATTTAGGGTATTTTGGACATCCATCTATCCATCCAAATCCTAGGCATAATGCATTTCCTAAATATTTGGTACATGCTGACCACATCCACTTTTGCAGCCATGAACTGAATATGTCCTTTGCACAATGGCCAAGACAGGTGTGGGACACTGGCCGGATCCCAGATTAATTAAATATTTTAAATCATAGGTTTTTGTGGGTTTTTCAGGCTGTAAGGCCGTGTTCTAGAAGAATTTATTCCTGAAGTTTCACCAGTGTTTGTGGCTGGCATCTTCAGAGAAATCGATGCTTGGAGAAATGAATGAGTGCCTCCTGCCTTGTGTGTTGCACCTGAGATGGGCTGGCTGTGCATTTGCACTTCCAGATGACTCATAAGGTTGCACATGTGTGCAGGCACGAGAACCAGCCTTAAAAGTGAGAGATGCAAGACCGGAAAATGGGAATTGCAAGCCCACAGACCTCACTCTTAAGTCCTGGGTTCCGGTCTCGCCTTCTTCATCTGGGCGGCCTGAGGCATGCCGCACCCATTGCAAGGGGGATGTCTTCTCTGGGCAACCTGGCTTTTATTTGGAGCCTCTCAGCTGCTACCTGAGAATGACCTCAAGGCCTCTTCTCCCCTCCAGGAGGCATCCCTCCCACCTTCATT